GACCATAGTGGCTCATCTTCTTCTCCCTCCCTCAAAATAGATCCAATCCCTGTCCACCTTAAATTTTACCACTAACATAGTATGCATTTTGAGTTTGGTAGCGGTCAGTGAGGTTCGCTTCACTGTATCTCACTGTACGATGATGATGATGGTGAATGGTCCTCCCGAACATCGGTCAACGACAAAGTGAGTACCTATCAGGTACTGCCACAGATTGAGGGGTGCGACATTGCAGAAACTATATTGTAGCATATACGGTTGGTTTGGGCTTTCGAAAAACTGGTAAGATATTGGAAAATGCGACTTCTCAGGGGTGCAACATAGCAAGAGATTAACTGTATTCTGGTTTGTCCCAATCATCCATTTTTATAGGTTATATAAGATTCTCTCTTCATTTTCACCTTTCATTTTCCAGGGGCATAGTTGTTACTGGGTGCGTCGCGGATGCAGAGCTGGTGAATGATCACTTTTGACTGACTGTTTTGTTGTTCAGGTTGTGTTGCTTATCAGATTTAAGTATCATGTTTGTGAAAAGTTAAGTAGCCTCGGTGGGATTCGAACACAAATGCGGTGGTCAAGAGCGTGACGAGAACTTGAAATAGTCTTCAGGCTTCCTGTCAAATAGAACAAAGGCTCGAAAATGGTACCATGTCGTGGAGAACGCAATCCACCACAAAAAGGCAATGCTGACTGGAACATAAAGGTTCGACCTCGGCAAGTCTGCAGTCAAGAATGTTGGTGCATTGGATGCCCCGGTTTGGTGTAATTCCACTGAAAAGTGTATGAATCCATTTCCAGGGGTTACCAAATCGAACTGGGTCGTACTCTTCTAATATGCATATCATGCAAGTATCCTAGAGGATTCGGACAGAATATACAAAGCGAACCACCTGTTTCAATCAGAGTATCCGAACAGCATCTCGTCCAAAGACAATAGGACTTTGAACCCGGGAATCAATATACACTAGTTCTACCTCGACTGTTCCCTTACCACGCATCAGCGAATCACAAAGTCTAGCTCTTGTAGCTTGTGCAACACGAACTGCGGACAGCACCGAGAGGATTACCCTACATCCGGTGTGGAGCTCGCTAAAATTAAAGGGTGGAAACTTAATAACAAAACCACAATAGAAGGAATAAGAAACAGAGAAGGAAAAACACTGGTAATCACTCACATCGACTGCGGTCGGTTCTGGAGCCGGTCGCATGACACGTCCGTAACGCATGAGCACTGTGTGAATTTCATCGTTCACATTAAGTAAGTCCAAAAGCACCGCATCCGTTGTGCCTCGACTGGGTAAACTGTCCTGATAGGCTTCCCAGGAGGAAATTGCTTGAATCAAACGTTTGCTCATCTCGTACAAAGCTT